TTGGTACAGTTCCTATTTCTCATCCTCCTTTCTCCCATCAATAACCATCCCTGTCTGTTGTAATATTGATTGCTTTCCCCCCCTAAAATAGAACATAGTTACCATATAATTTCTGCACCAGCAATAATGTTTAGAGATGATATTCAAACAAATAGGAGGCATAGCAATATGAGCTTGTATAGTGAGAAATAAGGCATTAAAGCTGAGGAGTTCATTAAAATGTTTCAAAAACATTTCAATAAGTCAATCTCTTTGGTAGCAGAACTAAATATAAACAAAATGTACATTAAATTCAACTTATAACAGCACATCATATGGGGGCTTAAGACATCTAATTCCTTAGGTGGTAAAACATGTGTACATAAAAAGGTACCAGTAAAAACAAAACAAAATTAGTTTAAACACACGCACTTAGATATTCACGGTTTTCATTAATACAAAAGATGAAGCAGAACATCACTCTCCCCTGGTTGTTTCCATAAAGAAGAAATTAACCAGGAAACATGGAGATGTCCATTGCACTCCTTTATTTTGCTTACAATGTGCAAATGTGCCTACTATGTGCTAATAAGCTTTCCATGTTATGGTTTTGTTTTTTATGTGCTGTATGCAAATGTTCTAAATGTGCTTAAATTACCATGTGCTGATGTGCTTACCGTGTTCAATGTGCCTATTAAGTGCTTTCCAAGTGATAAACTCTTTTTCTGAGCTTACAGTATACTACATGTACATACATGTTTTTATTTTATTTTTCCATGTTGTAATATTTTGGTCTCTGTTATTATACTCATGTTTTGTCTTTGTAGCTTATGTTGTATGTTTTGCAAAATGGACGTAAAATATATATTTTTGTATCTTGTACGTGCTCAAGGATTTTATCTGTAGTTTTTGGGACTATATATAGAAAAACTTTACCCCAGTATGAGGAATTGTTTTACACATTTATCATAAAACAAGTTATGTTCAGATTTCAGACAGAAGATACTCTAAAATTGTACAACTCAGAAAAGGTTGAAAAATATTTATAGTTCATTTTTTTCTGCTTAGAAATATTTAATCTCTAAATTACAAATGATAACTGTTTTAACAGGTCTAGTTTCCGAATTGGAAACCAAACCCTGTCTGACCTATAAATGATCATTATATAAGGCCAATTAAAAGTTTAAAACAAATATTGAGTTTATGCTAACCCCACAGATACTGGACACACTAATAGTAATATGATGTGTATAAACTATGATATATTATACACACTATACTTATTGGTGTGTTCGACACCAGTGTGGTTAACCAGACTTATCTCAGATTTGTGTTCTACAATACCCTTAAGTTTTTATATGCACTGTTAAAGTCAGAACTCCTGCTCTATATTAGCGCAGTAAAGATATTTTTCAAATTAACAATAAAATGCCTAGCTAATACATACCTACCCTATTTTTTTCTGATAGTAGAAACACAAGTAATTTGTTTGGCCTAATGTTTCTGTCATTTCATAATATTTAGAACTACTATACTTGTTTAAGTTTCCAAAACATCAAGTAGTATAACAATTGAAACTTCAATGAAAGCCAACATCACAATGAATCTAATAATACAATGTTTATAACATGTTTTTTTTTAACTGAATGAGAAGAAATGTAAGGCCAAATATCCTCACAAACAACGCTTAAGTGAAATCAGTTTGCAACTAAGCAGTTCGAAAATTTTGCAACACGTCTGGAGAAAGACGTTCCTCGTGACGCTGTAATTCACTAGAGTAAAACGTCCGTTTATTATGTTTGTTTTTGCATAATAACTGCTATACATACCGTAGAAGCACCTTCCTTTTTGTCATCGCCGCTGACAACATGCGCCATTCTCTGCGGCTTCGGCCGCATGCTTGGCCACAAGTCACCGAAATCGGGATACATAGCCTTATTTATGAATCAGTAGTAGGTAAACGTTGCAGAAGTGTATGTATATTGTTCATTGTCAATGCTGCTTAAACAACATGCCTAACATTAAGTCAACACTCGCCTGCATTTTCGTCTTTTCCGCTTCGCGTTGCGAATGATGTCTAGGCCTACACAAAACGAAAGTAAAATGTGCGCATGTCTAAATGTAAGGGAGATCACTCGTGTTTTCCCGCAGTATATGTCTGAAATCATTCCGAAGGTGTTGTTGTTTTTGTGTATATTGAAATAAAAGAGTCCTGTTATATGGTAATACTTCAATAAACGAAAAACACAAATCACACCAACAGACATATAAAATGTAGGCCTATCGGAGCATATTTTCGTTTCTGGCTGAGCTGTAATTAGCGAGAAGGCGATATAAAAATGCAATAGCATATCTTATGATGAAAATAGAACAAAATGATAATACTGCGAAGGTAAAAAAAGCCTTCAGGTTAGAATACCAATATGGAACTAGAGAAGGACAGTGGCTAGTTCTAACATGATTCCCGGTCTCATCTGCCCCGGCCGGTTGATCCCATTTTAGTTAGGCAAGCCTGGTGTGAATCACACGGAGGCGATTTTAGAATTAATTGACAGGATCCGTATCCATTAATAGGTTTGTAATATGAACTTTTTATGTTGATCTCCTACATAATTGTAAGTTATACTCCGCCTTATATTTCGTTAAATTATCAAGTTTACGTAACAAGTGCAAGCGAAATCCTAATTGACTGCCATGTTGGAAACTTCCTCAATCTTTCCGATATAGGTCAGACGTCTAAATATGGGTGTCATGACCAAATATGGAAATTGTAGTAAACATGACCGCATCAGTAGTAATACTATATTTGGCCGTGAAGGCCATATAAGGAAACGGATAACATCACGCGTGATCTAACATGGCCGTCGTTTCTTTTTTTAGAGTTTTTAGTAAGGATTTGTTATTTTAACGATGAACGAATATGCAATATTTTGATAACATTATAATCATATGAAGCGTGAATCAGATATATTATTACTGATTAGCACTTTTGATTATCCTCAGTTAGTTGGAACAGGACCGCTTCATAGCTCTGACCACGCAATATATAATTGTAAACAGGGACGTAAATGTCACCAATTTTAGCCAATCACAGGACAATATTTCCGTGTAAAGGGTTAATCCAGCGACAGTTCCAAGAGTAAATACGAAGTTTTAGAAGGATACTTAGTTCTAACTAAGAATAAGATTATATCCAATGACGTTTGAGTGAACTTGAGTCCGTGGTAATGGATTTTATTTGCAGTTTGTTTAGTATTACTAGAAGGTGACGTTATGTCTCGTTTATGAATATCTGAGCTCATTAACTGAAGTATTTTTACCGGAAGTTGCGTGTAGCATGCATGACCTACATTCAAGTAGCAGTTCCCGATTGAGATAAACAGGGTGCATTTTCAATAAGAATACGACGTTGTGATAAGATCATATGTTCTATAAAGAAAAGTAATGATATTTACAAGCCATTCAAGTGCATTTGAGTCCAAAGTTACGCATAATAAAGACAGTAGGTCCGGTATATGATTCAATTTAGTACCAGTGACTATCGCTAGAGGCCGTCTGTGTGAAATCGACATTTATGAATATCTGAGCTCATTAACTAGAGTAATACCAACAGCTGGCGGCTAACGCCTTAGCTAAAAACCCGCTTTTGTTTATCGTCTGCTGGATAATCGAACTACTCGGTAGTGAAGCGGGCGTAAAACCGCCCAAACAAACAAACAAACTTCAATCTGTGACTGAAGCTTCAAGAGAAAATTTCAATGACAGGGCATGCCTGAATAAAACTGTTAACCATTGCGATAGCTCAATCGAAAGTATGACACACATTATAAGGGCGGGACACCGTGTAGCATCAGATCAACTGTTAAATCACAGTTATGACATCATCATTTGTTCTCATTGTACTATATATAGTAGAATGTACAATGAAGTACCTGCAGTTGTTTATTATTAAGCCGTAGCTGTCCATCATTAAACACAATAATGGACAGCTACCGGTACTTCATTGTACATTCTACTATATAATGTACAATGAGAACAAAGGATGAGGTAATACAAATAATTCCAAACATTAGCAAATTTTAGAAGAAAATCCACAATTTATTAACACCGTATGGCTTTACTATATACAGTATATGTACTTTTAAATATGATAAACATCAACAATAGATATAATCCATTGAAACACCACAGATACTTATATCTGATCCAGACATAATCCAGCTGCCCTTATCACTGTTGAAATTTGCTGAGGAGAAAGTCTTTGATAATAAATTAATCCAACACAATGCTGTAAAACTTACTTGAAGAGAGAATACAGTTATACAATACTTATTTTAAGATATGCATATTGATGGAAAAGGAAACCCATATCTTCATTCAGGAATAATGCAACAGATCTTTACACAAAATTATCCTTTCTTGGATGTAGAAACAATCCAATAGACATTTCCTGAGATAATTTAACTGGCACCAGTGTTGGTTTAGGTGATATGTGATGTTTGATTTGATTTACCCTCTGCTTCAGGAATTTTTATATTTGTTTTTCGTGATGCATGCAATTCAAGTGCCATTTTAATTTACTGTTCTCTGTTCACATGTGTTGTTTTAATGTTAATCAACATGTTCTTTATATTAAAATCTACCAAAATGATGTTTAAACTGATATTGATATTACAGGCCTCGATGAGTATATTCTCTCACAGAATGGACAGTTTGAGACCTTTCTCCCTTACAGGAATATATTGTGCACAATAACAGAATTTACCCAACACGCGAAATTAAGGTACACACTACTTATCATATGTCTTAAACATTCAAGCCTCATTGCACTTTTGTGCAGTTGATACTGGCCTGCGTTTCTAAGCTCACGATCCATTAGGCTGACATTGAGTCATTTTAAACTACAACATAAGATTTAAATCAAAACCGAAACCAAAATACACGGCACGTTTATTAGAAATGCATTACTGGTTTCACTGAAATACAATTTTTCTATTTATAGATGAGATAAGCAATGATAAAGGAGTTTGTATTTTTTCGTAGGAGGTTCAGACGTCAGGAAGTATTGAAGATATAATAAGGAAGCATGTGTTTTACATAGGAGGTTCGTACAGTAATAAGCTGGGTGAGTATATCCTTATTGATAGAGGTATAGGTATCATAGGTAATAACGACAGTATGATCAAATATGGACACTGACTTGATCCGAACAAACAAATGTTGGTTATATATGTATTACTTAAATAGATATATGGACAAAGAAGTAATAACGGCAGTGCAGACACAGAAATTTGTCAAATGGTCAGAGCAATCCGCCCCTTTTTCAAAACAGAAACACTTACACTTACGCATCACAACATATATCAGACCTATATTGATAGAGGTATGTATACATGTATTTATCATACCATAAATATCTACAGTAGTTAATCAGTCACTTATCTTTCTGTCAATAAGAAATCACTAGAGCTCGAGTGAGATTTTAACTAATATATAAGCAATGATAATATACATGTATACAGGTAAAAAAACACAACATGTATACTGCATTATATCATTAAGTGTTTTAAGAAAGTATATATCATTGCAAATTTAATGATATTCGCTACGACACTTACATCTATTGCTGACGTGGCTATCACCATATAGGTAAACCTCTATATCTACTGTACTTTGTCGCTTTAGCGGAAGACCAGCTGTTTTGATATACATTCGAACAGGAAGTTATTTTGCTGTCGTGAGTGTAATCATGGCGGAAGGATGGCGTGAACATTTAGAAAATATCAACAAGAATTGTATCAGTAGACTTCAGGAGTATGCTGCCAAGAGAGGTTTAGAGGTTCGATATGAAACGTATCCTAGTCAGGGAGGGTAAGCATGAATCACAACATCTTTGTATACGGGGGTTATTTTTCTATTTACATGCACTTGTTTTATACAAACGTTTCCTTTGAATAACAAAAGCAGCCGATACAATTATATCTTATTGTCAAATAGATGGACAAATACTAAATATATTTATGAAGACGTTGACGGAAAGGCAAATATACCATAATAAAGCAAAAAACAATTACAAGCTTTTTAAAGTGATTTTAAGTTTGACGATGTTGTATGTCTTTTAAACATCCTCAAACTAACATTTACAAAAATAGGAAAATAAACTATTTCACACTATTTGTACAAAAAGGTTTCAACATGACTTAATTTTTGTAAATGTGTAACTATATAAGATACATGTCCAACAAAATGGGAACAAAATGGGAGCATACAGATGTTTTAATGTCAAGAAGTACAGTTATATTCTTGTCTGTTGATAAAAATAATATGTAAATGAAGAAGCAGAATTTATCCCATAGTCCTGACGATGTTGATGGCAATTTGATGAAATTGGTCACGGAATATATTTGAAATGAATATTCTTTTCAAAAACGTTTCCTTACAGGGTTTGCAGTAGAGACGAACATCTCACTTTGAACTCTGTAAACCTGATGAAATGACAATGGCAAGTGACTTGGTCAATTTTCTTGTTATTTCAGATTTGGATGTAAAGTGTATTTTGAAAAGTTGATTGCAAGTGGAACAGGAAATAGGAAAAAAGAAGCAGAGGAGGCGAAAGCGGACCGGGCTCTCCGGTCCCTTTACAAAAACAGTGGAACAAATCAGGTCGTATCACAATGCTCACCTCAGCGTTATGTGAACATTCAAATCATTTCTTTGAAATAAGGGATAGAGGTTTGATACATTGTATATAAACCTATAATAATCTGCTGACTTTAACTAAATCACTTCAAATAACGTTGTGGCAACTGTTGACGCTACTTGGTGTCTGGATGAATATTTGATTTCAAAATGAATTAAAGGAATTAGTATAGTTTTCACTAGTGTGGTACCAGTGATGTTTTAGGTTTGTTAGACATTGAAATATATGGCTAATGACCAAATCGTTATATATGGCTCAATCCCTATTAATGTAAAACACAGAGCACGTTCTTTTACTTCACTTCCCATTTTAATCTCTTTAGAATTTGGTTTTGGTAATGCTAAATATTAGTTATTATTTCATAATGACCCATCATTCACATGTATATACAACATCTTCAAGACCAGACTTGATGCACTAGCACATCATTTATTTGAATAAATCAGTTAGACTCTTGATGCATGTACATATAATATGAATGTTACATAAGACATGAGTAGAAGTTAAATGAATCAATTTTATTGATTATTTATAATAGAGGCTCTATATGATATTGTAGATGATATTTATTTTAATTGGGGGTTGTTTTATACGTTATCTTAAGGGACGTTTCAGTAAAGACATACTTTATTTCATCCAATGAGTGGTTGTTTCACATGCACATAGTATGTTATCAAATGCGTGTGTCGGATTGATACAGTGCTTACTCACTTTATCATATAATTGTAAGTGATATAGGCCACTTTACGTAAGCGATTTCATTATCTGTAATTTGCTACATAAGCACTTTATAGGACATATCTCGGCGACCCAATTCATATCTGCCCCCCACGCGTCATATCTGTTCTGCACACGCCATATCCATCCTTCTTCCCGTTCATAATAGAATTTACACCATCAACCATCTGCTTCCAAATCTCCACAGATAAAACTGATTCTGTATGTGTTATGTTAATGAACAATTATTGATTTTGTATGAAAACGATAAAGAGTCACAATAAGGCAATTTCGATATCCTGCCGATATCCTACCCCATCTCAAGCTTCGACCTATATCAGTCTTTTGGCAGTTGAGCCTTCGAGATGATAGGGGTTCTCGTGCCAACTTGGATAACAATATTTTGATATGATAGCGTTTACAATATATTAAGTTTGTACAAAGAAAATTAGAAGTATGTGAGCTTGTAATACTTGGTAGGAATTATCATATTGAATGATTGACCTTTTATGAATAGTAAAACCAATAATTTATTTACCAATACATGTGTTCTGTCAAATACCATCGTATTACATTTCTTCGTATTATATCATCTATGTGCTTGAAGTACGTCTTTTAATGCCTACATCTCCAATTATTTCACACAAAAAAAATGCAAAATTAAAAGTGTCCACTTTAGCGTTAAACACGGGTTCTAATTACAACAGACGGCATGGACGGTAAAAACCATTTTCTTGGAAATTTTAAAAATGTTACAGTTGTGTGACCGCACAACGCACCAAAAATAGCGTGCGCACACCGTGCATACATTTTTCACAAACCGTCCGCACATCGTCCACACATGGTGCGCACAACTGTGCGATTTAACAATCGTTCGCCCCGTTGTGCGCTTCTCTCCGCACAACTGTGCGATTGGGTACAATTTGTAGATCAATATTACGGAATGAAAAATATACGGAAAGCTCGTATGCAATAATGAAAACTGTATGTATTATTGTAATATCTCCTCACAGTAATGAAGATTATGTACAGTTGTACAATGCGTGTAACACAGCATTACAGTGACCGTTAGACTGTCAAGAATGGGTTTCGCGCCAAGGTAACAGAATATGTAATTAACAATTTGATGAGTTACCGGGGTTTGACCTGGCCTGTACCTGACACATAGAGCTGATATGCGATACCGTATGACCGTAATGAAAACACAGCTGGACGTTTAGTATTTGTTATTTGCATTCGGTTTGCCTATAGCTCCCCTTCACCTGTGTTTTCACACCCCTGGCCCTACCCGACGAAATACGTAAGCGCCCCGGGCGGGGGAAAACTACCGTCCAGGTACATGTAGACGGCTAGTGGCTATGTTTACCTGTATACGGGACTGTGTTGTGATTTCACAGGTGTCGATTAAGGTCGTTTAAAAAATACCAAAAACACAATTTCTAAATTTAAGAAAGTATAGATATAAAGATAAGTTTATAGGTGTAGGTAGAGTATAGAAACATACGTAAAAATCAAGGTTTATATGTTTAAACACGAAACCGTATATATTGTTAAGGCATTCCTCAATTTACACCAACCACGATTGTTATCGCACAACGTTCGTCCATCGTGCACACATATGTGCGCAAGATTTGATCGCCCAAATTTTTATCGTTCGCACATCGTGCACACATCGTTCACACACCGTGCACACATCGTGCGCACACCACACATCGTGTAACGTTGTGCGATCCCACAACTGTATTAGTATATGGGAAATCTCGTGGCTGAGCATTACCATTATCAATTCCTACACGCTGACTCACTCTTTGGTAACTTGAAAATAAAAATATGACATGTCATTCACTTTATTTCACCTAACTATATACTATTACTATGTTAATAACATAAGCAGAATATATATTTAGCAATCGTCAAGACCCAGAGATACTGCACACTCTTTGCTTTAATTGGTGAAGCTGATCTGTGTAATTGATGATAATAACAGCCTTATTTTACAGCCGCAGTCTAATCAGCCACCATCGAACTCTCCTCCAGAGATCATATATAGCAGGCAGAGCGCGTCTGCTAGTGATTCTGATGGGGCAGAAACTGATGCACATAGTTCGACTCTTAGCGACGTGACGGTTCTAAGATATGCACCTGTTAGTACATTTGAAAGTTATCGAAGTTCATTAGTGTCAGCATGGGATGAAGTTGTTCAGAGAAGCAATTCCAAGTATGTCTCTACGGGATCCGGAGGTAAACATCCCGTCAGTGCATTCATGGAAAACGCACAAGCGAATGGAGAAGTTGGAAGAATTGAAGAAGAATTTAAATGTGGTCCTTCTCATTGCCCAACGCATGTATGTTTTTAAAAAAAAATAATGCATGTCTCAACAGAGTTTTGGATATTTCAGAAATACATTTAGTGAAAATAAGAAATAGAAATAAATATTCCGTTGTAGTGTTTTATGTACATACAGAAACATCCCCTTTTCTGTTTGGATTTACCAGAAGTCGGGCTCGGCCATGTAGCTACCATTTTGTTAGTTTGTTAGAACAACCCTATCGTGGTCGGACTTCCAGGGTTACAATGCTGATTTGTCATCGTTGCTTTTTTATTCTTCGAACCCTATTGCTGGTTTTATTTGGATGTTTCTGTTATCTTATTATTTTCCAAAAGGTTCTGCAAGGTATGATATTCTCTTTAGAAGTTAATTTAAGAAATGCCAATAAATATGTTCCAATGCATAGTGAAACGTTTTTTGCAGAGGCCCATGGATCCTTTTTATAAGGTCTATATCACCGAAGATGCCAAAAAAATAATTATTTATAACGAAACTATTTTGTTTCGATCTTGTTATTACTTTGTTGGTTCCATTTTGGGTCGAAAGCTGTTCTGTTGAGGTTAGTTGGGTATAAACATCAACTTAAATATTTCTTCTCATCCAAGATTTTCTACGTGGCGCTCCTTTCAATACTTTTTTTTACAGTTGTCACAATGACCAAATATCACTATATGATAATTCGTTGGCAACCAAGATGAAGGATCTGTTCGGTATATATTAGGTAGTTCGTAACCTAAATATTTTCTGAGTTGTTTCCCTTTTGTTTCTTTTTAGGGGATCGTGCTTTCCTTCGATTCTTTTGCTGTTAAATACACTGTTTTAATTTTGCCTTAGGTTAACTGTGCGGGCTTACATGGAAAAACGAATTTTAGCCGAAGGAACAGGCAGCAGTGAAAAAAAGGCGAGGGTAGTAGCTGCTGAGGTGTCTCTCAATATCTTGGCACCAAGGCCCTCACTCAGGGCTTTGACGTACCAAGGATTCTCGGTAAGGCGAATATAAATATATTGAAGGTACTTGTAAAATTGTGGCGACCAGCTGCATGTTATATATTTGAATAAAGAAAAAATGCTTCATAATATCAGTTCGGAAGACAATGTTTTGTTTAACACAAGCGCTATCAAAGGGAAATAACTCTACTCTTTGTAATCGTCTCAGAAAACAAAAGGACGATATTTATAATTATATGGGGCTAATCATATAAAGCCATTTTGGTACTTCACTTGTTTTAATTGAACTTTATACTTAATATTTGTAATTGATGTTTTTTTTGCATATTCACCTTTACTGTGAATTTATGATAAAAATGTTCAAATATAAATTACATTTAAAATCAATTCGTGTAACCAATTTCAAAAGATTTGTTGCTAGATACTTTTCCATGAATTCCGAATCGATTAATTATTCAGATATAATGATAAGTTCTAAGCCGATATTTTTCAAATATTTATTTCATTCGGAAAACGGTTTAAAATCTGAGGTTTAAACGAGAGAAAAAAAGGACGTAGTTCCACCAAATTACCATGTCTACATACATGTAGAGAATTTCAGTAAGACTTTGGAGATATCAATGAAGTAAATTTCAGGTTTGTCAATCATAAATTTTGATTTTTAAAGAGGTTACCTCTAATGCCTTACTTCCGCATTTACAGTTCTCATTAAGCGAGCCTTTGACGTTCCATGATAGAATAGCTAAGCTCTGTCACGAGAAGTTTGACAATGTGGTTGCAGACATACCCGAGAACCTTGTCGGTCGTAAAGTGATAGCGGGCATCGTCATGGAAACAAAAACTACGAAGACGTTTGACGTCATCAGTATAGCCTCCGGTACATCCTTATTATCGTACATATATATGTTTTTAACGACTGTTGATCTCCTTTTCATATTCACTATTTAAAGAATTCAAATGTGATTTTGAATATTTACGACGACATAACCAACTGTTATGTCAATTATATTGTGAAAAAGGTAAAAATTATAACAAATTTTGTTATGTTTATAAGATTATCTTGGCAAATTGGTCCAGATTTTTGGGTTTAAGTTTACCTGGTCCGGTGAGCTTATGCTATGGCGGAGCGTCCGTCGTCCTTCTTTCGTTGTTCGTAAAATCATTCCTTGAAAACGTTACTAGTCCTTAACAGCTCAGTTAATATTGACCTATTTAATTCTAGAGCATATTTGGACAAGAGGAACTCTTTTTGTCTAAATGGAGATTGTGCCCCCTTACGGGCAGAGAGGCGGGGCCAAATAGGGAAAATAGAAGTAAATCAAGTTTGTTCTGGAGCATCCTTTGGCAATGCAGAGTTAGAGGATAATATATTTTAGTTTTTAAAACTTCGAAAACCCTTCTCCTTGAAAGGAATTGAAGGATTTTATCCAATTTTGATAAAGAGTCTTGGGTAAAGGGGACTAAGTTTTGTATAAATATTTATGTCGTATTTTGGAAATGGTTGAGAACCCAAACCTATCATCAAATATGCAACTGTTAGGCATTAAGAGGGGGAAGACATCCATGCTACCAGGATTATCTCGGAGGTCCTGATCCATTCCTAGTGTCTCAATCCCGTGTTCATAACATGGAAACTATTGAGAGTCCCACCCCGTACCTATATACAGGATTTTTTATGATTATAAAGCTAAAAACATATGATGCAATCGAGTCCTGGGTCACTCATGGTCAGCTTAAGTTTGGTTACTCATAATCATTCATCACAGTTGCATATGTTTGTTGAAGGGACCCGCTTTATAAAAGGGGCTGCACTGACGACAGATGGGCATGTGCTGGTAGACTCACACGCTGAAATCCTTGCTGCTCGTGGAATGCGAAAGTGAGTATCGGAACAAGATAACAAATTGTTCTATGACAAATCATACCTGTGTTGCACTACCAGTCTAATACTGTGTGAGTTTCATTTTCAAAGGCATTCACTTAATATCAAACTGGTTTGTAGTAGTTAAAATATACTTTTGTATCTCAACATGAATGTCTCTTATTGCATATAACTTTTATCAATAATATATATCTGGATAATAAGATCAATATAATCTATTTACAGGTTCCTTTATTACCACTTAACAAAACTCAGCAAAGGGGGAAAGTCCACCGTCCTTCGAAGAATCGAGGTGGAACAGGCTGAGTTAGCTCCTGATATCCAGTTTCATCTGTATATATCCACTGCACCATGTGGAGACGGAGCTACATTTACGCACAGGTATCTGTAATCATATCCCTCATAATACCCATACTATGGAATAATTAGTACCAAATTCGTCATCAAAATAGCATGTTATTGTGAAAACCATTTTAGTTTATTCATTTTTGCAGGAAAATTAAGTGAAAGTGTTGCTCAAAGTGTCATATATAAGGATTAAAATGGAAAAACATCAAAATATGAGTAAATTTTAAAAAAGACACAGTGAACAACACTATTTTTGGTCTTTTAAATAACTTTAAATTTTATATGAATTAATCTTAGAAGCCTATTGAACATAAACTTATAAAGGTAGTTATGTATGCGCTTTGACACGCTGCGCTGGTAGAAACGCGGTCGAATGTCCCAGAACGAAGCCGATATTGCTTTTACTGTCAAAGAAATTTAAATGCACATCAATGGAATGCAAAGTTTGAAAGAATCGCTTTGTTGGATAACAAGACATAATGGATCCCACATATGTTCCATGTTTCCGGTTGTTGAGGGAACCACGCAATAGCTGTCATCGACCTGTTATCTCACTGAACCGGAAACAACGCCGTATTTGAAACAACTGTTAATTCGTCGAGCCTTTTTTACTGCGTATACATCAACTTGTACGCAGAGGTACTATGCTGAAGAAGGGAGAGATGTGAAAATAATAGACTACAATAAACAAATTATAGCTATATAAAGGTATTTAGGATTTAAAATTGAAATGTTGTCCTTTTAATAAAGTTGATACATATTTGCAATTTAACTTCTCAAATAAAGGTTGTTTATGACGAATTCCCCATGATGACACAGCTCTTATTTTAAACTCTATTTAAGGTTAAAATCTAGTCAAAAATTGCAAACCCATTAAAAAACAGATTTCACAATAAGGATCCAGATGTAATATAGTAAGCAAAAAACTGTCAATTGAATTTAAAAACTGTATTCAAATTCCAAAAATGGGAATTTCATTGAATGGTCTCCTGTCCTAAAAGGGAACGACCCCGCCACGCGATATGTTCGCCTCGTACTGACCAACAAATATCGCGGCTGATTGGAGTCAGAAGAACGTTGTATAATTTTCCCATAACAATTACAATGAAACAGTTATGTCTTCACGTTACTATCAATGGATATTGTACGTACACTGCGACAGACTGCACACAACCTGATTAGCGGTTAAATCGGGCATACACAGTTGGGAGCAAACATAAATTGGTAGCCAAGTGTACTTGAGTTAACAAGAAAAATGAACTACAGTTCACTAGCTTTTGCACTGGAGTTAACACTGAAGTGAACTGGAGTTCACATCGATGTGTATTGGAGATCACATCGATATGAACTCCAGTTTACATCAATGTGCACTGGAGTTAACTACAGTTTACAAGGTAATTGTCAAAATCATTTGATGGGGTCTGGCCTTTTCATCAGTTTATGCATACTATGATTTTCTTCCCTCCAGTCTCCTTGATAAATCAATTAATCTATAAAACAGTAGATGTTACCTATTCATATACATAAAATGATTTAAGCAGCACCTTTTATGAAAATAGCATAGTAACTATAGAGCGTGATGACTTATTAAATTATTAGCAAATGCACCGACTTGGATCCATTGTACATGTATTGGTGGTTGAAAGTTTATAATACTTTATCTTAAAGTCACCATAAAAGTTCCTTTATAGTTATAACGGTATTACGTCTAAATAAAATATATCAACAAATTGTTAAAATAATTGGTACATGATAGTGTACCATAAGTATTTTTCTGTATAATGCCGGTAACTACATGTACTGTGAATAAGAAAAAATACTATGTACTAAATATATATATTGTCTCATTCATGATGGGTATCAATGTACTGTAGTTACACGAATGCAGATCTGAATTCAAACAAAATATTTATTTATAGAAACAAATAAATATGTAGGAATCCAAATTGACATTTTTACGTGTAAATTTAACCTGTCTGAAATCTGTTGAAATGACCTGAGGGTGTGTGTATTACACAAGGTATAGGGTCTGATGTCAAATTAAATTTACCTCTGATCAGAACTCAGGGGCAATATATAAGATTTTTCAATTCAATGTATTACCAAATGCACATTGCATATAGGCGTACAGTAATAGACATACAGACGAATTAAAGCACCGTATACACACCAGTTGGAGAAAAAAATGTATTTTTTTTCTCTGTCTCTGCGAAAGGTTTGAGGGTCCTGATCCTAAAGACTTTCCTATACAACAATGATATGTATTTTCAGGGGGATGTCATTATTTCTTCAAATGCTATCTGAGTCTGTGTTTCTAGTAAGAAATTATATTGAACTACATGTCTACTACGAAAATAGAATATAAGAATAAATGTTAAAAATGTCTAAAAGATAAACATGTTTATTATTTTCCAATCAAAATAAACACTTAATGGTATTGTCAGATCACCTATCCTAGGAGTAGAGGATCTATACATAAAGTATACCTATGCGATGCTATATATATATACATAAATATATTTATGTGATTCTGTTTAAAAAAACTATGAATTAACCATTAATGATAACTGCTCTAAGTTTTTTTATCTTTTTTTTCTTCAAGAACAGATTTGAGTGTGTTTTTAAAAAAGTGCTAACATTGTTTTATTGATTTAACCTTCTCATAATCCCTCCCGATTTTTTAAAAAAATGCCCCTCTAGTTCTTCAAATGTAACACCAGCGCCTTGTGGCTATTATGGACCACTAAACGTACATGTACAAAAGGCTCTGTCATGGTTCAGTGACCCATTAATTGATGCTTGTGTGTGTTATCAATTAGCGTTGACTATCTACGTAATCCATTTAAGGGATAAGGTAGTGTGAAACATTACTATAGAGACAAAGTCACTGTTTTCAAGTAGTATTGCGTTTCCTGACAAAGGGACAGTCATAGTATCTTACCTGTAAGCGTGTACTGATTTACCTATGTATCTACTGGACAGACAGTGGGCTGGATTAATTGACATGATTAATTGCCTTCACACACGATGTTCAAGATCAGGTACAGCCTATCAGAATCCAAGGAGAACACAGGTGAATGATCATTGCCCGTATATTCTCTAGTAGATCTCATACTTAATTCAACCATCAGTATGTACATGAAAATGACATGTATACATCTATAACAAACAAATTAAAATCAGACTAACTCATAGTTTTTTTCTTAATTATCATATAAGAAGGCTGGCAACGAACTGAAATTAATGCACATCTTTTGCTTGATTGAGCTATACTTTATCTATATAGTGTCATGCCATGATATATAAGATTTTTCTGAAATTTTTATCTTTTCTTGACTTGTTTGTATAAAATGTTTAAAATAAAGAAGCGAATTACTCTATTGATTTCGTGTTTTAGAGAAACCTTTCATAAAGAGTATTAAATTATAGGAAAAACTTTCCATGTCATTTATCCATACCACATAACAGATACTGATCCTCCATCCTGACACTACAACATTGATATGAAATGTGATGTGAATTTAATTATGATAAAGTGTATTTTTAAAATTTTCCTCTGAAATAGTACAGCTATCTATATATTTTGCTATACCAAGAGATTGTGTACAATTTCTCTTTGTACATGTCTATATGTTCAGTTGAAATTTTAAGTAATTAAAAATAAATACAAAAAAACATGTTAATCGATATTATGAAATATTCAGTTGAATGATTCTTTCCTTTCTCTTTCAATTTTCATATAACAAAGAAACCCATTTCATTATAAACAATTATCGAAATATGTACTTAAGTCTTTTAAACTTTGGTAAACACTGTAGTGCAATGGAGTTCACATCGCTGTGCACTAGAATTAACACTGAAGTGAACTGGAGTGCATTTCAATGTTTTGTCAAGTGCACTATCAAGTTAACTGTAGATCTTCGTATCAGAGAACTTTCTTATAACTGACCTAGCCTGCGAGCTGCTGTAAGCTTGGTCACTCCGTCGGTGATAATACAGTTATTGATGATGACATACATACATATAGTACCTCAGAGATACCCTTGATCTGAGTTTCATAATTGATAAAAATCACCTCCTTCTTTGAGGGTATGACAGAGGTTAATACACGCAAACATCCACCCCGAGGGTCGACGATTTCCCTGTTACATCATCAAAGTAGGGGATATTTTCTCCTATCCTATTATTTTTATCAGATACTTTCTTTGTTTTGTAATTGACCTCTCCCATCTGAAGTTGATTGTGGCGTCATCATTTATTGTTCCCCTGACTTCTTTCTCCGTAATGTTTGGTTTTTGCGTGCCACCTGTCATACTCTTGGGGATGATAAAGATATGGTAAACGGGTAAAATGGGAGATAATTCAGTGAAAGGTGGTCCGGTTGCGCAATGGATAGTGCACTCGCTTTCACCAATCACGCGGGTTTGCTCCAGATACTCCGGTTTCTTCCCACATTAAGTCCCCCCGGCGCGAAAACATTAAGGCCAACATGAAAATTGAAATAAGTGTATCTTGTTTCATGATTGCTGTACGTTGACAGGACTTTATATATATGTGTGTAAAGGTGAGGGAATTAAAGATCTTTTTGAAAAACTGAAAATTTGACTTGCAATTGCAATAAGGACTTGAACAGTTGTTTAAGAGCAGTGACAATAACAACAATACATTTTAATTTGTCGAAGCCCTTTACCTTAATATCAGTTTTAAATGAATACATTACATTTCCCAAACTTCAGCTGTACTATATAACTTATATGCGATGCTTTTACAACTGTTCAAATCAAACCCTCTCTGATTGCATCATAACAACTCATAAATAGCCGAGGTTGTTTTTATTTGAAAAGTGCTTTAATCGTTAACATTTATCTGATTTAATATCTTAATTAAGATCCATCGTAAACTTTCCAGTACAATTAACACAAATTAATAATAAAAAATGCAACGTCACTTTCACAGGAGTAGAAACAGAAAATGCAATTTGAAGCAGTAAGCAGTTAATGCAACATTCAGGTAGCAGGTCTCTCATTCCTTTGTTCATTATTTATATATATATTTATATTCAGTTCTGGCCAGTCAGAAGAAAAACATGATGACAGTCACAACCCTATATTTGATGATAATAAACAAGGGCTGCTGAGAACAAAATTGGAGCAAAGTAATGTATGACAAGAATGATAGGTATATTATTTACAACAAGGCTATTTAAACTCCCCCATGTCATCAGGTCTCTGTCAGCGGGGATATGTAGAGATTTAATCATGTTATTGTCACTTAAAGGTACCGTGCCGCTAACCTTAGTTTTTTTATCAACATGATAAATCTGACATTTCTCATTTATCTTACAAAGCAAAAGTTATCAATATGTTGATAATACCACACTCAGGAAGTGAAACGAAATAAAATACAGATGTAATTTTATTTTCTTACGCGCCGTAAAAAAAATCGATATTTTACCTAACGTTTAGCATGAACAGACACATACAATGTAATGGCGATAACCTTGCTAACACGTGGTCAACCATGCAGGCAGACAGAATCGGTGAGAAAAATAAAATAAAAACTGGAATCAGATCAACAGCGCAATAAAGCGAAAGTGTACATCGATGACGCCTTAGGTCTATGGAATACGCTTACGGAGGAAAAGGGTTCTACCACTAAGTTTTCAAGGCTTTTACTTTATGGCTTAGAGTAACATTACCCCTGACCCCTACTCGCTATTCGCTAATAATGACGTAAACATAGCCTAAACCCTGCTTCTGTTGAGAAAAGTAGTAGTCGGGGAGGGGTTTGCATGCTTATAATTGACATGACTATAAGTCAGTGTAAGTATTTAATCTTTTCAAGCCAATGTAGGTATAATATTTATAGAGCTTTACGACTGCTACCTTCATCACTGTTTTCCCGACATATTGCAGCACAGTAATTTTATGTTATATTTGTTATAACGTGTTTATGGTTCTTTACATTAAAATTAAGCTTTAACGGTAATGCATATACTATACTGACAGCAAACGAGTTTTGGCAGTTACCATTTGTCCATACAAATATCAAAATTTTGGAGAGTTATATTTATCACATAACTGGCCTAATTTACTTTGTCATACGGCCATGCCATACACATGTATTTCACACGTATAGTAAAGCCTAAAGGTGCTGCGATTGGTCAAAAGCGATTGGTCAAAAGCATTCCTATAATATTTTTACTCTACCACATGATAGAGTTACTGTTATTTAAAATGAATTGGAGATTTTGCTTTTTTTAATAATCATAATTAGAACAATTTTCATTGCATTTAAAACTGTTCATCATCAAAAATTAAAAAAATCTGGCACCACTTTGCACTGCGCAGAACGACAATACTAGGATCGGAGTTTTTAATCTACACCGTTTAAAGGGTCAGATGATAACATTCACTTGTGTTTGAAGTGTCTATGCTATAACGGAGAGTGCTGTATCAAATTAAATGACATGGTCTCTTATGTAAGATCCTCTATTTGTATCATATAACTTCCGTGTACAGTGTTATGGTAATAAATTCATAATATATCTTTTCTTTATAACCGCGAGTAGGGACCCCTTTAGCTACGCTGGTTTCGCCTAATTGAATGCATACGTCAGATGCTCGTAAATATGAAAAAAATCAAACTCATATCATCAGTCTAATATGAAAGAAAATTCCAGACAGAACCTCTTTTCATAAATAGGACCATACCGGGATATCTAAATATTTCATGTTGATACTGTTACAATACTTCGAACAGACATACACAATTTCTATTTATAAACCCAATTGAACATAGACGCCATAATCAATAATACTTACCATTCCTCAAGTAGCGTTTGGATGAGATAAACTCACTTACTACACAGGTGAAGGGCTGACTCCGGCTGAAAAGGTTCGCGAAAGTCACCAGTACCAAGACATGAACAATGTGAGGCGTGGAGAACGGTTGCGTGTCATGTCTTGTAGTGACAAGATCTGTAAGTGGAACCTGTTAGGAATGCAGGGGGCGCTACTGGCTACACTGATGAAACCTGTGTATTTCAGCTCCATAACCCTAGGTAACAATACGATCTGTAACCCTGGTACTCAATTACTTGAGACCAAACCAACAAGACATGAATTCGCCTTAAAGTTCTCCACTTCGGTTTTGTTATTATATACACTTTTAATATTTCTAACTGCTATGAACAAATATGACTTCCTGTACCTCATAAGTTTCCGTAGCTTTCATGTAAAGCTAAACTTTATTTATGGATAATTAGACTAAGACTAAGCATCTGAAACAAATTTATAACGGTTAAAAGAAATTAAGTGCGTTTTTATAAAAAAAAACACCATTTGTTTTATAAATAAAGAAAATTTGAAATATTATGAACATGAATATTCTATACAAGTTTTATTGAATATGCCCATTTAAGGAACTCTCTACAACCACGGACACATAGCTCGAGCAATGTGCTGCAGACTAGAAAATAGCTGCCGCGTTCCATATGTACCAGATGGTTATAAGGTTAACCATCCATTACTTGGCGCTGTCTCCCAAAAGAAGAACCCACGACGAAGCGTCGAGAAATCAAAGGCAATTTGCATTAACTGGAACAGTGCGGACGAATGCGCTGAACTGACGAATGGAACAACAGGCGTACCAAATATCAGCAGCGGATTTGCAAAAGATAAGTAAGACTTTTATGTTAGATAAATCTATATGATACATATGTAACTATCATTGTACAACAAAACTTAAGAATTTGATGTGAAAGAGAGATGGAAAATATTCTCTCTTATTGAAACTAAAAAAACCCATAGTTTTTAATTGTGCTTAAAGGTAACAGGTATCGAATAATTAAATAAATAGAGAGTTCTACTTCAATGTTTTAAGGAAACTTTTTGACTTAGAGTACCAGCCCTTGTCATGGTATTCATATTCTCCGTATTAAGTTTTGTGAATTTATAATCCTTTGACTACTACAGATGTTACGTGAAGGATAAGCAGTGTGTATGTATCTTTTTTATGGTTGTTTTTATTGGCAACACTCAAACTACGAACAACTCTAAATGTGTAACAAATCTCACTAGATGATTATATTTTTGGAATACTTCTGAGGAACATGATTTAAGTACAATTTCATAATAACAAAAATAGTTATAATATTTTTAACTTGGTGATTTACATTGACAGTGGAATTGAAGGTAAATTTTAAAAAACCACAGAACTTTGCATGAAATTAAAGAAGGTACAATGCTATTAAAATAAATGATATAAACTGCATTTAAATAGAATACGTATGCAACATACTTAATTATTACACAACTAAATGAAAAAGAAGGAAAACCGACGCATATAGTTTGAAACATTTTGTAATGAATTCAATCAATCAACACCGGTAAATATTTGATATTTTTTGCCTTTTTATGTTTAATTCGTCTTAAAGGTCTTTATCTACGTGTGTTTACTCCGTGGTGTATGCTGTTTTGTATTTACATTATTGATATTCTGTTGTTGTATTGCTGGCACTCTGATATATATTAATATTGATTGTTCCATTATATAGTCAGCGATGGGAATAAAGACTATGGTATTCTAAATAAAAATATATTTCTCTAGTATTTTACTAAGCCTGCTGGCACATCTATCATATTTGTTTCTATGGAACGCCCATTCTGATTGTCATTTTACCTACATTGTATACGAGTCCAGCTCTGTATGCGAAACTACACATGTGTTCCTTTTTATTATGATTTCCAGAGTTTACTCAAGATTGTGTAAACAAGGGATGTTGCGGTCCTATGAAAACATATGTAGGAGTGCAGGCTTGTTGGAACTTGTCAAAGACGAATATTTGGAAACTAAAAATGTATCTAAACGATACCAGCGTTGCAAAAAAGCCCTATATAAATCCTTGCACAATCAAGAGTATGGGACGTGGGTAGGACTGCCGAGAGAATGCCAGCAATTCTCAACATCTTCTGTTCGTCTTGTATACCCATAGCGACAAGGGGAAATCTTACTCATTGTCAACAAGCTAAACAATGGCTCATATCCTTTAACGATTTCTTCATGTAAATATAGTACAAAAAGTACATAATGTTTGTAAGTATTGCACTTGACATTTTTTTTCCATTTCAGAAAGCTAATTTTCTCATGAGCACCCGAACTCACGAAAAACGTTCAAAGTCACATTTATTGAACGTTTTTGCTTTATCTATTTATTGTTCCATCGATATAAATACATTCAGATGCTTTACTAGAAACGGAGGTAAAGAAATTTTCATGATAAATAAATAAGTATGTAAAACAAAATTTATAGATTTTCTTCCGCAAATATCAAAGTAGGCCGAACTGATGGTCAAAGCTTAAACTGTATAGTTTCGGAATCTGAGTGACGAATAAATATCAATAAAACAAACATAGAATGTGCCTTTTTTTAACGTGTAGTACATTTTATAACATGTTCAAGTATATATGAAAATCGAACTTATTTTATGTAAAAATAATCCACACTAACGATAGTCAACATTTTAGTTTGGGCCAGGACCGAACCCCTTGATAATGCTGAATTTTTCAGAGGTAAGCCTCAAATCAAATTTGCACCAACCGCTATCTTTCATGTTTAGCCGGTTAAAAATTGTTAAACTGGATACGCCGAAGCGACCTAAATAATAATCATTTTTATAACAAAAAAAGTTTTATCATGAAGTTCAGTTTGTTCGTATACAATGACGTGTTTAAGGAAAACTCAGTTGATATGTACTTGCCTACTACCTATTTCACATTTATATAATTACGACAGAGCTAATTGAACTCATTAAGTATATATCATATTATATAGTATTCCCTTCAATAAACGTTATTTCAATTCAAACTGATATCAGGCCAGCACAATTAAAAACTCATCATTTGTATACAGTTTGCTGCAGGCATGTCCTAGGTTTCTGTATAAAGAATTTATGCTTACTGTATATTTTGATTGAGATAACTTACGATTTTTTCCCCTGTATTTTTACCGTGTTTTTGTCCCTAATGTCGCAGTATAATATCCATAACAACGCGATTTTGATATCCTAACGGAAACAATATCGTGTATACAAGTTGATTTATCTATTTGATACATATGTGCTACTATTTTACACTTACATCCAAATCCGGACAAGCGTTGCTTAGTATCAGGTGTTCTTGTAGCCTTTCAAATTCTGCCTGTTAATAAAGTAAACATACGCAAAAATGTTTGTTTCTTTTTATGAAATTTAGTTGCGATTTATGTAAGAGTTATTTCCCTTGAATAACTTATTTCTTGTGTAACTTTCGTATCGCTCTGTGCTCTAGCCGAAATCAGTGATATTTAAAGTATCAACACAAACCTCTGTCTTTTAATTATGTCCCTCAAACGGAGTGGGGGACATATTGTGGTTCTTCTTCTTATTATTATTTTGTTATTATTATTCCTTCTTATTTTTCTTCCGCCGTGAACTTGTCCGACTATTTCCTGGAAAACCGCAAGTCATATCTTGATGAACCTCGCATGATTAATAATGGCCATATGTAGTTTTGCACAATACAAAATCTGTACATGAACAATTCCTTTTGTGAAGTTAAATTATGTGTAAAATCAAAAGAATAGTACGCTTTATCTGATAGCTGGTTATGAATTTATCGAACTACCTACTCATAGTCTCTTGCAAACTACATCAAAATGTTGTATATTTGTTAAATTTAATTCCTGAATGTCATTTTTATCTAACAACGATTGTATAAAGTACATGAATGATGTCATTGTGTAAGGTATGTTTACTTATTAAATAGTTTACAGGTTAACGGTATTTTTGCTACTATTTACGTTTTTGCTTCTCATCTTTGGAGGTGAAATCGAATGCATCATGATCGAAATACAGAGATTACGATTGGGGCATTTAATATACTAATGGAGGATAGACACACATAGCGTACATTGGCAAATATGACCGAGACATTCTATTTAACCATGTAGTGATTCGGTAAAGCTGTTTTTAGGAATGTTTGTTAGTTGTTCCAAATGCAGTGTCAGCTTAAAAGGGGTATTCGAAAGACGTGAACATATATCAAATCTAATATATAATTTACATTCAACATTATTGAGGTTTGGTAATATATGTAAACAAAAATCGTGTAGATTTTCAAATAAAGAATTATTCTAAACTCTCTGGTAGTAACATGGTTTTCAGTTATTCTACTACCTCCATTGTATTCAATTTTATTATCTGTATTCATTTTGACAGAAATAAAATAGCCTCTTAAAGCGAAATAGAGAAAGACAACCATGCAACTGGTTGGACAGGTGACCCAAATCTTTTTACGTCAGATCGAGGAATCGAAGCTTTACCGTCTTTGTGAAAGGCGAGTGCACTATCAACTGTGCCACCCGACCACCACATCCACTGTGCCACCCGACCACCACATCCACTGCACCACCCGACCACCACATCCACTGTGCCACCCGACCATCACATCTACTGTGCCACCCGACCACCACATCCACTGCGCCACCCGACCACCACATCCACTGTGCCACCCGACCACCACATCCACTGTGCCAACCGACCACCACATCCACTGTGCCACCCGACCACCAAATCTACTGCGCCACCCGACCACCACATCTACTGTGCCACCCGACCACCACATCCACTGTGACACCCGACACCCACATCCACTGTGCTACCCGACTACCAAATCCACTGCACCACCCGACCACCACATCCACTGCGCAACCCGACCACCACATCCACTGTGCCACCCGACCACCACATCCACTGTGCCACCCGACCACCAAATCCACTGTGCTACCCGACCACCACATCCACTGTGCCACCCGACCCCCACATCCACTGTGCCACCCGACCACCAAATCCACTGTGCCACCCGACCACCACATCCACTGTGCTACCCGACCACCACATCCACTGCGACACCTGAACCCCGCATCCACTGTGCCACCCGACCACCACATCCACTGCGACACACGACCACCACATCCACTGTGCCAACCGAACACCAAATTCACTGCGCCACCCGACCACCACATCCACTCTGCCACCCGACCACCACATCCACTGCGCCACCCGACCCCCACATCCACTGTGCCACCCGACCACCAAATCCACTGTGCCACCCGACCACCACATCCACTGCACCACCCGACCACCACATCCACTGCGCCACCCGACCCCCACATCCACTGCGCAACCCGACCACCACATCCACTGTGCCACCCGACCACCAAATCCACTGTGCTACCCGACCACCACATCCACTGTGCTACCCGACCACCACATCCACTGTGCCACCCGACCACCACGTCCACTGTGCCACCCGACCACCACATCCACTGTGCCAACCGACCACCACATCCACTGTGCCACCCGACCACCAAATCCACTGTGCCACCCGACCACCACATCCACTGCGCCACCCGACCAACACATCCACTGTGCCACCCGACCACCACATCCACTGCGACACCCGACCACCACATCCACTGTGCCACCCGACCCCCACATCCACTGTGCTACCCGACTACCAAATCCACTGCACCACCCGACCCCCACATCCACTGCGCAACCCGACCACCACATCCACTGTGCCACCCGACCACCAAATCCACTGTGCTACCCGACCACCACATCCACTGCGACACCTGAACCCCACATCCACTGTGCCACCCGACCACCACATCCACTGTGCCACCCGACCCCCACATCCACTGCGCCACCCGACCACCAAATCCACTCATCCACTGCACCACCCGACCACCACATCCACTGAGCCACCCGACCACCACATCCACTGGGCCACCCGACCCCCACATCCACTGCGCCTCCCGACCACCACATCCACTGTGCTACCCGACCCCCACATCCACTGCGACACCCGAACCCCACACCCACTGTGCCACGCGACCACCACATCCACTGTGCTACCCGACCACCAAATCCACTGCCCCACCCGACCACCACATCCACTGGGCCACCCGACCACCACATCCACTTTGCCACCCGACCACCACATCCACTCTGCCACCCGACCACCACATCCACGGTGCCACCCGACCACCAAATCCACTGTGCTACCCGACCACCACGACCACTGTGCCACCCGACCACCAAATCCACTGTGCTACACGACCACCACATCCACTGTGCCAACCGACCACCACATCCACTGTGCTACCCGACCACCAAATCCACTGCCCCACCCGACCACCACATCCACTGCGACACCTGAACCCCACATCCACTGTGCCACGCGACCACCCCATCCACTGTGCTACCCGACCACCAAATCCACTGCGCCACCCGACCACCAAATCCACTGTGCTACCCGACCACCACGACCACTGTGCCACCCGACCACCAAATCCACCGTGCTCCCCGACCACCACATCCACTGCGCCACCCGACCACCAAATCCACTCATCCACTGCACCACCCGACCACCACATCCACTGGGCCACCCGACCACCACATCCACTCTGCCACCCGACCACCACATCCACGGTGCCACCCGACCACCAAATCCACTGTGCTACCCGACCACCACAACCACTGTGCCACCCGACCACCAAATCCACTGTGCTACACGACCACCACATCCACTGTGCCAACCGACCACCACATCCACTGTGCCACCTGAACCCCATATCCACTGCGACACCTGAACCCCACATCCACTGTGCCACGCGACCACCCCATCCACTGTGCTACCCGACCACCACGACCACTGTGCCACCCGACCACCACGTCCACTGTGCCACCCGACCACCACGTCCACTGTGCCACCCGACCACCACGTCCACTGTGCCACCCGACCACCAAATCCACTCATCCACTGCACCACCCGACCACCACATCCACTGCGCAACCCGACCACCACATCCACTGTGCCACCTGAACCCCATATCCACTGCGACACCTGACCCCCACATCCACTGTGCCACCCAACTACCACATCCACTGTGCTACCCGACCCCCACATCCACTGCGCCACCCGACCTCCACATCCACTGTGCCACCCGACCACCACGTCCACTGTGCCACCCGACCACCAAATCCACTGTGCTACCCGCCCACCACAACCACTGTGCCACCCGACCACCAAATCCACTGCCCCACCCGACCACCACATCCACTGGGCCACCCGACCACCACATCCACTCTGCCACCCGACCACCACATCCACGGTGCCACCCGACCACCAAATCCACCGTGCTCCCCGACCACCACATCCACTGCGCCACCCGAACACCACATCCACTGTGCCACCCGCCCACCACATCCACTGTGCCACCCGACCATCACATCTACTGTGCCACCCGACCACCACATCCACGGTGCCACCCGACCACCAAATCCACTGTGCTACCCGACCACCAAATCCACTGCGCCACCCGACCACCAAATCCACTGTGCTACCCGACCACCAAATCCACTGCGCCACCCGACCACCAAATCCACTGTGCTACCCGACCACCAAATCCACTGCGCCACCCGACCACCAAATCCACTGTGCTACACGACCACCACATCCACTGTGCCACCTGAACCCCATATCCACCGCGACACCTGAACCCCACATCCACTGTGCCACCCGACCACCCAATCCACTCATCCACTGCACCACCCGACCACCACATCCACTGGGCCACCCGACCACCACATCCACTGCGCCACCTGACCCCCACATCCACTGCGACACCCGAACCCCACACCCACTGTGCCACGCGACCACCACATCCACTGTGCTACCCGACCACCACATCCACTGTGCCACCTGAACCCCATATCCACTGCGACACCTGAACCCCACATCCACTGTGCCACGCGACCACCACATCCACTGTGCTACCCGACCACCACATCCACTGCGCCACCCGACCACCACATCCACTGTGCCACCCGACCACCAAATCCACTGCGCCACCCGACCACCACATCCACTGTGCCAACCGACCACCACATCCACTGTGCTACCCGACCACCACATCCACTGCGCTACCCGACCACCACATCCACTGTGCCACCCAACTACCACATCCACTGTGCTACCCGACCACCACATACACTGCGACACCTGAACCCCACATTAACTGCGCCAGTCGACAAACCAATCACTGTTTGACTGTTACAAAATATTTCTGTTGACATATCTTATTATAACATTATTTTTATAAGCAAGGAGGTAAAATAGACA